TCCCCTCTGCACTGCGGGACAGGGCCTGTGACACGTCCCCTCTGCACTGCGGGACAGGGAACTGTGACACGTCCCCTCTGCACTGCGGGACAGGGAACTGTGACACGTCCCCTCTGCACTGCAGGACAGGGCCTGTGACACGTCCCCTCTGCACTACGGGACAGGGAACTGTGACACGTCCCCTCTGCGCTGTGGGACAGGGCCTGTGACACGTCCCCTCTGCACTGCGGGACAGGGCCTGTGACACGTCCCTTGGCCCGGCCTCTGTGGCCGCGGTGGTGCCGGCACCTGGGGGAGGCTGGGGCCTTTTGACCAGGCTGCTCCTGCTGGCCGTGTGACCTCGGCAGCCCGAGTGACCTCTCCTGGGCCTCAGTTTCTCCGTCTGTCAAGTGGGGTCATAACTGGACCTCACGGGACTGCATGAGCATTCGTGGGTCTGCACTTGTACGTGCTTGGCCCAGCGCGTGGGGCGTGGAAGGTGCTGGAAGGCGCGGCTGCCGGCATCAGGGCCCGCGCACGGGTGTGCGGCAGGTGCCCGCCTCCCTCTCCCACGTCGTGTTTACGTGATCTGAGCGGTGGCCGCTCCCCTCGCCAGAAAGACTGACGCGGCAAGGCCGGCCACACCGGTGTCCGGGCACCGCTGTGACACGTCCCCTCTGCCCTACAGGACAGGGAACTGTGACACGTCCCCTCTGCACTGCGGGACAGGGCCTGTGACACGTCCCCTCTGCACCGCGGGACAGGGCCTGTGACACATCCCCCAGCCCGGCCTGCGTGGCCGCGGTGGTGCCGGCGCCTGGGGGAGGCTGGGGCCTTTCGACCAGGCTGCTCCTGCTGGCCGCGTGACCTCGGCAGCCCGAGTGACCTCTCCTGGGCCTCAGTTTCCCCGTCTGTCAAGTGGGGTCATAACTGGACCTCACGGGACTGGGTGAGCATTCGTGGGTCTGCACTTGTACGTGCTTGGCCCAGCGCGTGGGGTGCGGAAGGTGCTGGAAGGCGCGGCTGCCGGCATCAGGGCCCGCGCTCGGGTGTGCGGCAGGTGCCCGCCTCCCTCTCCCGCGTCGTGTTTACGTGATCTGAGCGGTGGCCGCTCCCCTCGCCAGAAAGACTGACACGGCAAGGCCGGCCACACCGGTGTCCGGGCACCACTGGGGGACCGGAAACCATTCGGCCCTTTGGGCAGCGGTGGGGCCCTGGCCGCCCCTCGCCGGCTGTGCCCCAGCGGCGCCGCCCTGGCCCACGCAGCGAGCGTCGCGCGGCAGGGCTCAGGACAGCCCCGAGCGGGGCGCGGCCGGGACGCCCACCGCAGGAGGACGGGTAGAGCTCAGCGATGGGGGACGAGGACGGGCGCTGGTCCTGGAGCGTCGCCACGCCCTGTCCACAGGTGGCAAAGTCGGAGCAGTGGCTGGCGCCGGCTAGGAGGGCAGATCCCGGGGTCACATCCCCTCAGGTCTCGATGTGGGTGA